CTTGTATCTTGATGACACATTATTGTACACCGAGAGTACAGGAGTGGTAGGAAAATTAGTCATTCAGAATGTTTGAATTTGATCAAATATAAATATAAAATGTTCATCAAAACAGTATCTTAATTTCTCAAAAAGAAAGTACTTGGTGACAGAACTGCACTGTTCATTCTTAACAGTAACAGAGAGATGCATGGTACACCCTTAGTAGGTCGCCAGTCTGACACTCAGCACTCTGATATTAATATTATATTGCAACATTTAAAAAAGTAATGAAGCATTTAATAAGCACGTGTTTAGTATTGTAGCTTCTTGTTGGCTGACCTTATTTCATTTACCATATATGTATTTAGTTAGTTTTCAGGTTTTCTGGGCATCTTCAGCTGGAAAGAATTAGCAGCTACTTTTAAATTATCTAAATAAATGTGCAATAATCCCAATTTCAGCACAGATGATATAGTATAGAAAACATTTTCATCTAGTCCCATTGTATAACTCCAAATTAGTAACCGAATTAAATATGTACGTTTTGGAGGCTTTTACTGTGAAAGGACATACGGAAACGTTAGACTTTCCAGCGTGATGACGCTTCCATTGCAGTGAGGCTCAGGTGTATAACGGGAACCGGGGATGCTGGAGCTACTAACAAACGCTTACAAAACTACTATTATCGCATTCGTGCATTTTTCTGCATTTTAATATAACGTAAAGCATTTCGCTTCCGGTGTAGGGGAGGCGAAAATGAGGACGCAAATGTTCAAGTGCTGCATGCGGAGCCCGCCGTTTCCTTTGATGCCCGAGGGTATTAAGTCTTTTATAACCGAATATGAATTTGTTTCTTGAGTCATTGGTGTTTTATCTCATCATGTTTGCTTATATGTACTGTTACTGATCTGTTTCATGATCATTTAGATTCGGTGCTATCCGAAGGACAGCTAGCGGTTATGTAGACTCGACAGTTTCTGCTAAAATTTGCTTAAAAATCATAGAAACTGAACTCATAGCGAAAAATCTGTGTTTTTGAAAATGCAACGTATTCCAAAATATAACCTGTGTCAGTGGAGAGCGCAGGATCACATTACAACCCTCCTGATATATTTTTCTGTTTTCTCTTTAGGTAACGCCTCCAAAAAGAAATACACCTATCAGTGATGGTTATGGAGCATGATGGACGTCCCCTCAGTCAATCAGAGCCAGACACCCTGCCAGCCGTGGGCGGGTCAGAAGGACTGGTCCACAGCTTCACCTCCAAGACACCTCTTTGACCCTCTGCCCAGCTTTCAGCATCTCAACCTGAGGTCTCCTTCTGATTACACTCCCTGCTACAACCACCTCCAGATGTCCAGCTCCAGCTTCCAGAGAGACTTCACTGCATTTTCACCCAATAACAACAATCCTCATAACAGCTTGTTACATGTTAATAACACTGACCACAGTGTGCAGCCAGTCATTCCTGATGTTTCAGCCACGATTCCAGCTGCAAACCAAGGAAGTAACATGAATGAAGACATTCATCCTTGTGACACCCAATGGACATCACTTCATTCCCCTCACAACCCTTACCAAGCTGTAGCTCAACATTTCCAGCATCCCTACACACAGCAGGATTTAGTAAATGGACCTCCGTCACCACATCAAAATCATTTGCCCATTAGGCCTCCATTATATGGAAACGAGAGTCCACAGTGTATACCTCAGCCTGGATTTGAGGGAGCAAATGCCAGATCATCTGCAGTATTTACTCACAATCATGCCTCGCCCACCTCTCCCATCCAACAGCAGCCTCAGTGGACACTTCCAGCACACTCTGGAGGTGAGTTCATT